TGTTTTTTAAGCTTTACAATTAAAATTAAAATAATATAAAATGATAGTTAAAATTTGCGCATCAACGTTCAATACTGTCGTAGTGATCATTTTCAGCACCACAGACAGCGGAAATAAGAACCTTTCTGCCTGAACCCCAAACATGCAGAATTTATTTCATTTCTTTATGATTTCCTTCCCTAGGGAACAATGGCGCACTAGTATGTACTTATATATGTACTTATTTTAAGTGTTTATGTTTTTGATTTTTTTTTCTCTCTTTCTTTTTTCTTTTATTTCTCTTTTTTGGTCGTGGTGGTGCCGTTCTGACTACTATCCGACATCTAAAAAAAACAAATAGCTTGAAGACCAGAGGGTTTTTTATTTGTTTTTAAAATTTAAACGTAGTCACTGCGTTTTCCCTTCTGTTTTTCTTTTTTAAACAATTTCAGTATTTTTTTTTTAATTGTCTTCGACGAATTGGGTTTAGCAGTACTATTTTTTGTCTGTTTGCTTGTTTTTCAAACCTCAAATATTTGTTTAACCTTGCACTGATTTTCTTGTCATAAATCAGTGTTGTGTAGTGTCATGTTTTGTACTCCTAGAGACGCTGTTGGCTAGTCTGTGGTAGTTTTGCTGCTGATTACAGCAGCACCTCCCAGATAATTTCGATCGGAGGAAGTATTGTCGACACAGTAGACATTTCAGGTTTCCGAGAATAATATAGCCTACACGGACATTTTAGCAGTCGGTTTTTTTGATCGACCTTTATTGTGTGGCTTTTTCATTTTTACTCCAGCTGTGTGTGGAATTTAGCTCTTTTTCTCGACTGCTTTGATTCGTCATGATATTACAAAGCCGTTGGACCGAAACAATGAAATGGCAAGTGATACTGTTTTTCTCAATGCTCTCTCTCTGTTATGTGTTCGGGCAGGTAAGCTATTCTGTTCCAGAAGAAATGTCAAAAGGCTCGTTAGTCGGTAAGATAGCACAAGATTTAGGTTTGGACCTAAAACGGTTGAAAACGGGAAAAGCTCGCTTGCATGTTGGAAACAGCGCTGAATACATTGAGCTGAATAAAGAAAGGGGGGTGCTTCTTATCAAGGAGAGAATCGACAGGGAGGCTTTATGCAAACAAACTACTCCCTGTGCTTTACACTTTCAAATGATTTTGGCAAATCCTATCGAGTTCTACCGTGTTACTGTAGAAATAACAGATATAAACGACAACGCCCCTATATTCAAAATGAAAGATATGGTATTTGAAATAAGCGAGTCGGCTGTAAAGGGGTCAAAATTTATATTAGAGAAAGCACTGGATTCTGACGTTGGAATAAATGGGCTTAAAAGCTACTCCCTTAACCCAACAGATAATTTTGCTTTGAAACTCAACGACAACACTGATGGGGGGAAAGAAGTAGAGATGGTTTTGGAAAAACCTCTTGATCGAGAGAAAGAGGAGCAGCTGACTCTTACACTAACAGCCGTCGACGGAGGTGAACCTCAGCTCTCGGGGACAGTGCAAATTCATGTAACTATATTAGACGCCAATGACAACGCACCTGTTTTTACACAGTCAACGTACAAAAGTAGTTTAATGGAAAATTCTCCAAGAGGAACTCAACTGATTACTGTTACAGCCACCGATAAAGATGAAGGAACAAATGGTTTCGTAACATATTCGATATCAAATAACATTGATGGAATTTTTGATTTATTTGAAATACATGAGACAAGCGGGGAAGTACGGTTGATCGGAAATGTAGATTATGAAACATCGAAACATTATCAGCTCAATATTAAAGCCAAAGATCAGGGTGGACTCAGTGACTCGTGTAAAATTATTTTTGATATTACTGATGTAAATGATAATA